TTCTCCCTGAGCTACACCCCTCTACTTCATGGTGCTCCTGGCCCCATGTAAGTTTTCCCTCATAAATGAACAGCCAGGCCAGCTTCAACAGAAGAGCTGGAGAGCACTTAGCACTGTCTAGCCCAGGGATAAGTGAGATACAACCCATGAAGCCATTGGATCTAGGCTGTGGAGCTGGGACTTTGGCAGTGTTTGGCTATGGGGATCTTCACCCATACCATGCTGCAATGCAGAGAAGTGGTGGCCAGGTCTTAGGGCTGGCCCACCTTGGACCTGACCCAAGTCATTCTGGCCTGACACCAGAAAAAATGTGAGGACTGCTGGTCTAGTCCATGGTCTGCTCTTAGAGAGTGTCCTTGAGAAGAGGGAGATGAAGTAGGCCAGCAGTGGTCAACCTTTTTGTCCAGCAGGCTGGATGGGCAGTGCCCCATCCATCCCTGGGCTGGATCTGCCCAGAGGTCCTGATCCAGCACCCAGGACAAGAGCAGTGGTCCTACTTGGCCACACAGAGTGGGGTGTGGGGCAGACTGCCTCAACCTGGCCCTGCAGGAGTAGCATGGCCCAGCCCTGATCCAGATGCAGGGAGGAGAAAGTCATGGCACTGACCTGATTAACCCATGGAGGGGAAGCGGCTGCGGCCTGGTTCCAATCCAGCCATGGCGGGGCATGCCTCTATCCTGACCCAGCTGTGGAGTTTGGGAATTTGGTAGAGGGGAGAGTGGCTGTATTAATGGCCACCCTGCTGTCTAGAACTGGCTGGTCTGTGAGGTTTTATGTAAATCATGTCAGCTAGTAAAATTAATTAAAATGTGTTGCTGCCTTGGTGACCAGGGTTGCCAAGTCAGTTGTGGTTGCTGGTGTGCCTGCTAACTCAACACTTCAAAAAAGTCTCTGTTTGTATTGTACGGCAGCACTTCTAATTCCATTAATGCTAAGTCACGGAGCTTAGTATCTTGCAGTTTTTTCTTGCCTGTGGGACTATTCCCACCATTCTGATCCTTGCTCCTTTGCTTTCCTCTACTCCAGCAGAAGCAAAACTCCAACAGTACGCACTTAAGCCCAAAGGGATTTTTCAGGACATTCATGCCAATTTTTGAGATGAAGTCCTCTGGGAAGGTGTGTAAACTCCCCATTGGGAAAAAGCAGAATCAATTTAGAGGTGTCTCCCCACCATGTCGTGTAAACACTTTATCAGCACCTCATGGACCTGTATTGAAGACCACAGAACAATCAAGACAGACCAGAAGGGCACAGTTTCCCACATCACTCTCCAAGCAAAGATTATTGACCAAGCCATAAGTGAAGTCTCTGTTCTGTATCCAAAAAGACAGCCAGACTGACAAGTATCCAGGAAACCAATGTCATCCAGATGCACCTATTGAGTGGCCACCCATTTGATTTCTTAGACGTTAGGGCTGGAAGGGACCTCAGGAGATCATCAAGGCCAGCCCCCTGCCCCAGGGTCAGGAAGTCAGCTAGAGTCAAAGGCTCCCAGCAAGATAAATGTCCAAAAGTTTCTTATAAGCGTCCAAACGTTTCTTGATGACCTTCCCCAAAAGGGGAGGTTGGAGACATGGTGATAACTGGCTGGGGAATCAGCTCTTTTGTTCCTCCCTGGTCTTTCTCCAAAGGGCAGAACAACTTGACTCCAGTTTGCCACAGTCAGGTGGTGTTGGTGGCGTCTCAGCACCAGGGGTCTTTGCCTGCATCTGCTCCTCGGCCAGGCAGCTGGGAGCTGTACCTACACCACTGCTACTTTCCTCAGCCCCCACTCCTGGCGCTGTGGTATGGGCACAGCTTCCAGTTGGTGGGAAGCTGCGCCAAGCCCTGGGCAGGAGAAAGTTGTTTCATCTCTGCCACTGCTTCTCCCTGTATCCCCTCCCCACCTCTCCTCCCAGGTGCAGTGCCGCACTGCACTGGCTAGAAACTGCACCTGAACCACAGCCAGAGAATCGGGGACTAGGGAAAGCTGCAGTGGTGTGGACGCAGCTTCCAGCTGCCCAGCCCTGCAGCAGCGACTTGCTGTCTGGCCCTGGCATGGGAACAGGCATGGGCAAAACCCTCCGGCTCTTCGGGCTGGATTCAGCAGCCAGATTCAGGCAGCAGGTGGTTGCTGACCAGTGGTGCTGAGCCCTGGTCTAGGCCCAATGCCTGGATTTTTTTCTCTTCTCTGGTTAAAACTAACCCTCTACTAATCCCTGGCATCCCTGTCCCACTGGAATGTAGCTGTTCACCCACAGCAAAGGTCACAGGGAGCCCATTTCCCTGAGAGCCAAGATGGGTCAGACTAATGGGTCAGGGTTTTTTTTTAAAGCCTGCCTCAAAGGTAGTGGGTGCTGGCTGCAGCCCTGGCTAGGGACTGGGGCTAGGCTTTGCCAGTGCTCCTGCTGGGACATAAAGCCAGAGGGTCTTGGCTAGAAGGTCTTGCCTTTCCATTCAGGGTCAGCCCCATTGACATGTTTGGGGCCAGGAAGAAATTTTACCCCGTGGTCTGCTTGGTATAGACTGTGGAGGTTCTGCCTTCCTCTGCAGCAGGGGATATAGCCCTTTTCCTGGGATCTCTTGAGCATATATTAACAACCTTTTACAGAAGCAGGATGTTGGCTGCTGTGGTCCCCCTGCTTGACCTGGGGCAGGTTAGGATGTTATGTGTTGTGTTGTGTTGTGTTGTGTTAGGGTTGACGGCAGTTTTACTAAGAGGTAAGATGACGGTTGTATGGGATGGTTTATGAAGGGCTGATCCTGCCTCAGGCAGGGAGCTGGACTAGATGACCTCTGGAGGTCCCTTCCAGCCTTACTTATTTATGACTCTAATGATGCTTGTGAACACGACTCCTGACACAAAACTAAGTCGCTAGGGTATGATGAAAGTTCAGCCAGAGGTGGGGGCATTTTGAAACAACCTTTCCAACCTCTCTTATGCCTTGGGGGAAAAAACCATTAGTTAGGGCCAGACTATGAACTTTGCCTCTATATGCACCTCCCATAAACATCACTGCGGGGTCATGAATGCAGCTCAAGAGCAGGGGAGGACCTTTCTACCTTGCAAGACCCATGTAAACCATTTGTTTGTTTATTTGTCCATCTTTTAACTTGATAGCCTGCCCAGCTGTGCTCCTGGGCAAATCCTTTCTGTCTTTTGAGCACTGCCTGGCTGCTCTCTCACTGTCTCTCCCAGTGTGACCCTTATGCCTATTGAACATCGTTGCTTGAAGTTTTCAGGAAGTGGGGGCCTTTACAAATGATTGGAATGACTTTTGTTAAAAGCTCACAGGTGCATTGCTTTGAAATTGTGTCTGCAGTGAACACATTTTTTGCTGTATAAAATCCTTAATAAATCCTTCTTTTTAGAAAGTGCCTGCTAAGTGGGAAATCTTTTGATTCGGTCAGAGGGAGGGAATTTGGTGTCAATACAACTGCCACTTGCCCCCCCCCCCCCCACCCCCTTTCCTCAAAAACAACTCCCCCTTGCCCCCCCCCCCCCACACACCTTTCCCCTGCTGCCAATTTTAGTTACTAGGGGCAACAAAAAACCTTGATTTTGGGCGTAGGTAAGGGGAGCAGAGCGGCAAGCAGTGTTAACTCCCTCCACACTGAAACAGGAGCATAGGCAGCCACAGAGACTCCAAAAGCTGCAGCAATGGGGCTGACAGGCTGAATACAGCCTGTGGAGGTGGGTGGTTCATCTGCCGAGATGCCCCACAGACAACAGATGCCCCCCTACCTTTGGTTATTTTTCTGTCAGAAGTTTAGGTAATTTGAGTGGATCAAGGCCTACATTATCCAAGGGGTTTGTTTTCCCCTGCTAATAATGGCTGGCAAGCAAGGAAGTACAAGTACTGCAAAAGATAATCTGTAAACTTGCTTTTATTGGGATACATAGAAGGAACAGAATCCAACATTTCCCAGCATCTCAACCTCAGATATGCCGTGGTTTAGTTACATTGTTCGTATATATATATGGTTAAAAAAGGAAAATGAAATGCTACTGTGACCTTTCTCCTGAGTTCAGCTGTTGTGAGAGTGACACAAGTAGAGGTAGGACAGTTGTACTCATTATTTGGAAAGAAATTTCTTTGAGTAAGTTTGTGGCAGCGGACACTATGGCTATGAGATGCCATGCAGGAAAGAATGAAAATCTCCAATTCTGAGTATCAGACACAGGACAAGTCAAGGGGAAACGATAGCAGTCTTCTGTAGATGGTATATAACATAGGGAAATGCATCAAAAGAGCATTTAGGTTTCAGTTACAGGCTCAGAAGGCAGAAGATGACAGAATGGCGGTAGCCTGTACAACCTTAATTCAGTGCCCTCGTCTCAGGTCACAGCGCACAGGCCCCGCCTCTCAGTTCTGGTTCCTTGCACCGCAAGAGTTCCTGGCTGCAGGAAGGAGCCTTGTGTCCAATGTCATGATGGGCGAGTGGGAACATGCTTAGTACTGAGAGACTCTTCAGAGTCTTTGCCTGCCATGCTTTAGTCATGCCAGCTTGATGGGCAGCTGAACTCAACTCCTGAGTTGCACCAAATAAAGTTGCCAAAGACTAAAAACATAGGCATATTTGTCTCCAGATCTTCCAGGAGACAGCAAAAAGCATATCCCCACTACAAGGGTAGCCCCCATGCCAGAACCAAGTCCTTGCTCTAAAACAGAAAGATGCTAAAACTTTTGAAACAGTTCCAAGGCGGTCGTTTTCCTTGGCTTCATGCTGAAAAATGGCAGGACTGATACTTGCTGATGTCCTGAACCTGAAGCAGATGCCTGCTATGGAACATTGCAGCCCCAGTGGTTAAAATTTAACAAAACACCTGCAAACAGGAGCTTAGAAATGTGATGAAATGTATCAGGCATTGCTACCTACGCCAGCTATATTTACACAATCACACAAAATAGCGTAATCATCCCATAAATAAATAAATAAGCCGCATTTCCCACCCTGCATCTACCTTCTATCACACTAACTACCTTGGACACCATCATGGAGAAATCCTAGAGAGAAACAGAAAAAGGTTGCCTTACTATAAATGCTTTGAACTGGCTTATAGATATCATAAAGGATAGCAACTCTATGAAATGCTATAGCAGGAATCTGATTCTTTATTAAATTGTATAGGACAGCTTGAAACACCCATAAGTCAAAGGTCCAGTTGAGCTTAGCTGCCCATAAAGTTAGCATTGCTAAGGCATGCAATCAGCACAAAAGGGAGCAATGTGGCTAGGCTGAATGACCAGATACCTTTTTAAACCCTGATTGACAGGGGATGACCTATGATAGGGGTGGCATGAGCAGCCTTTGTGTGTGGCATACAGCTGACTGGGGAGGGGACAGGCAGCACAGCAGCAGATAGGGCAGGGAGCACAGGCCTGGGAACAGAAAACAGAGCAGCAGACTGGACAGGAGAAGGGGATCAGAGGGGCCCTCAGGGAGGGTGTGGGGTTAATTCATGGCACGCCTGCCGAAAAGGTTGGTCCCTCACTAGGCTATGGCATGAATCCAGAGTGGGGCATGTTCCCTGGAGCCTTCATGAGATGGTTTCACTGTTCTGCCACTGGGACCCCACCAAAAACACCTCTAGCAAGGCAATCAGTTTCTTTTATATTCTGTGTGAGTTTTCCATAAGCTGCCCAAGGACATTGCTGAACTTCTCCTCTATTCTAACCACAAAGACCTTCCCTTGGCACTGACACTTAGCTCATGCTGAGAGCAGGGCCTACTCTGTGTTGGCGCTGGGTGTACTAGCAATGTGAGATTTAGAGGGGGTGCACTGAAGCTTGCCACCTCCAGGGGGACATTTGCAAGTCTCTGCATCTCTTTGGATGGTACTTCCAGCAACTACAAAACTGTAATCCTCAATGTGACAGATACATTGAGGGCAGCCATCAGCCACTCCTCCTGTTTCCTTGCATGTGGGAGAAACCGTAGGGCAAAGCGAGGTGCAGGAGATATTCCCAGGAGAAACACAGGTGCACTTCGTGGTGGCAAAGTCTATGTAGTAAGACTCTCCCAGGGGGATCTTTCCATATTTAAAGCCTTGCATGTTGCATTCAAACTCCTGGTGGTCGGGGCAGGAACACGTAGGGACGCAGGTTGCGCAGCACTTGTTCTTAGACGCCACTGCGATATGTTGCTTTGGACATGTCTTGCATTTTACAAGATCACAATTGGGTTTTAAGGGTTTACAGGCAGCCTCATGTAGAAGAAAGCAGGTCAGTAACAGGTATGGCAAGTGTGTAGGTTTCATTTTTCTGGTGAGAGATGGGAGGAGAATACTTACAGCTGACATGACTGGCTCAAACACTTGAATCAGGACCACCCACTCAGGAATGTACTCGTACTGTACTAAATTTAGCTGTGAGACTGTGGTCCTGCAACTATATGGCCAGTATACCATGAAACAGTCACCTCTGAGTAGGTGGTCTCCAATGTATTGCTGTCAGTGCTATTTGTAACATGCCAGCCCTACGGCCTCCCTGTGCTAGGGCCTGTACATGGAGCCCTCCACCCAAGAGTTTATAATCTCTGTGGCAGTGAGACGTAGGCCCATCTTTCCTTCCCTGTCAAGACCTGTGTTGGGCTTCTGGGGTTCTCCCATGACCTCCTAAAGAGAGAACTTGAGGGGCTGGGCACTGAATGTAGCTTGGCTATGTCCACGGACTGCCACTGGGTTTAGTTTTAAGCAGCCTTGTCACCTAGTGCAATCCACGGCCCCAAGTGAAGTGTCTGGGCTCCCTATACAATGTATGGCAAATGGAAGGCACCTAGGAGTTGCATCCACAAATGCCAGAGCAATGAGTGGGCTGCTGAGTAAGCCAGCTAACAGGCAATGCTGAGAGAGATGCATCTTGAGTCATTTTAGAGGCTTCACTGTCTTACTTCAGGCTTTGGGCTCCTGTTTCTGAGATTCAGTCCCCTGGACTGAGGTATGCTTTGCTATGCCTCTCATAAGCCATGGTGAGGACACTCCCCTGGGAGCAGGTAGGCCCCAAATGCAAAGCCCTAACCCCAGGACTGTTTGTGCATTTTTTTTCAATTAATGCAAAATGCATAAGCAGGCCCTAGAACAGGGACCAGAATCTAGGAGTCCCACAGAAAGGCCCTCCCCACAAAGCTACAGCCAGGCTCTCTCTCTGTAGCTCTGTGCATCCTGTGTTCCTTACTGCAGTGGCCCATCTTCAATGGGAGAGTGCTCCTACCCAGGACTTGTTTATGGCTTGGGGCTTGGCATATATGGTGTTGGATGCCCTTGGACTAAACAGAGCCCAGGTCTCTCGCACCTAACAAGTTAGGCAGGGGCTTTGAGGACCATGGTCTTGGATCTGGGTCCTTAAATTCTAAGTCCTTTTGTGGGCCTGGGCCCTAGCTGATAAGTACTGTCAGGATTTAGGCAGATTTGGGGATGCCCAGGAGCTGACCTGTCAGTACCCAGGGAACACACCCAAGGAAAACGTGGTTGCCTACAGGATCTAGGGGTCTATGGCAGCTAAATGATGATTCAGGGGATCTAAATGTTAGACATGGGGTATGCCAATGTGTGCCTGCTATGCAGTATAGAAAATGCCAAGTTAACTTTAAATGAGAAAACCTGGATACTTGTAGCTAAGTAGCTATGCTCACACAGCACTTAGCATGGGTTAACGTAGCTAGATGAGGAATAGAGTAAATTAGCCCAAGCAGAGCCCCCTGCTAGCATGATTGGGCTATGCCTAGTATCCAAGCTAACTTATTTAAAATTAGCTGGTATCTCTGTTTGACCTTGCAGTCTGCAGCATAGTCATGGTTTTTCACACCTATAGGAACAATTAGCGAGGACTTACTAATAGGATGAGAGGAACAAAAGATAGGAGGAGGCCTTCTAGACCCTCAAGTCCAGGAAGGCATAGCAAGGCATACCCCAATGCAGGGGACTGGATCTCAGAAGTAAGAAACCCAAAGCCTGAAGTAGGATGCTGAAACCCCTAAGATGACTCAAGACATCTGTCTCAGCATTTTCTGTTAGCTGGCTTATGCAGCAGGCCACTCGGTGTGCTGGCATTTGTGGATCCAATTCTTAGGTACCTTACTTTCCCCACACATCATATAGGAAACCTACATGTATACTTACAATTGCAAACAATCATTAAGCAAAGGAATCCACTTCAAACCCTCACCCCATTGCAAGCAACACTAGCTCAAACACTAAGAATTCCCTATAACATACCACAGGTTAAAGCAAGGGAGACAAGGACACACCTAAGTCTTTTTGGGGAGCTAACCACCTGCCCCCCACTCCCTCTCTGAAGAGCTACAGCTGGGTGTACCACGAATTCACTTAGTGGTCATGAGTAAATCAGTGATTCCCTAGGCTTCAGCTTCCTCATCTATCAAACCAGGACATTTACTTACCTACCTGCTTCACAGGAGTGATCTAGGGATCAGTGTTTGCACAGTGCTTGGAGATGTTGCTTAGTGTACAACCGTAAGGTGCTGAGATACTCTGCTGATAGGCACAGACTAGGCACAACCTGTAGAGAACAGAACATCCCCTTGTTCATTTAGTCATAAAAGTTTTCCTGGTGATTTTAACTCATGTGGCACTGCCTGCTTCAACAAAGCATAATCTTATTGCACTCATAGATCTTAGAGCCTGACTACATGATTCCTGTGGGCCTTTTTGACCTCCTCCATAACAGACCATAGAATTTCATTAAGGTACCCCAATAGCTTGTACTTGGGAGACTCAACCAGCCTTGAGGACATCAAGAGATGGAGAATCCAACTCCCTTGGTAGTCTTTTTCAGTGGTTAATCACCCTCACTTATACAAATACGTGCTTCACTTTTCATTTGAGTCTGTCTGATTTTACTGTACAACCCTTGGTGCTTCCTTTGCCTTTCTTTGCTGCATTACAGGGTCCTTCACTCCCCAATATTTTCCCCTCATGCAGATACCGGTAAACTGTAATCAGTCACCTTTTGTTCTTATGATAAGCAGATTGAGCTCTCCAAATCTGTCGCAATAGAGAATATTTTTCAGCCCTTGAATTATTTTTATGGCTCTTTTCTGCAACCTCTATAATAGTTCATCAGCCTTTCTAAAATGGGAGCACTAGATTAGGATCCAGTCTTTAGCATTGGTTTCATTAATGCTATAGACAGGGGTAAAACCATCTGCTCCTACTCACTACTCCCCTACCTGTGCAGCTATGAATCTCACTATGCTTTTGGCACAATATCATGCTGGGAACTTGTGTCAAGTACATCACTACTGCTAGAATTTCCCTAGAGTCAGGACATCCCAAGATCCGGTAAAGAGTGGTTTGTTCCTACACGTATGACTTGGCATTTGGCTATATCCAAATACATTTGGTTTGAAAGGGCTTCACTTACCAAATAACCCCAATCACTCTATATCAATGGTTTTCAACCTTTGGTTCACGAGAGATTACTACGATCACTCAAAAGTATGTGAATACCCACACTTACAATTCAAAGGGGTCCGCACCTCCATTTGAAATTTCTAAAGGTGTCCACAAATGAAAAAAGGTTGAAAACTACTGCTCTATACGGTTGCCCCAGCATTGTCAACTCTCACATTTTTATTCTAGGTTTCATGGTATTTGGTGGATTCATTAAAACTGCTGCCCCTTGAGTCATGTGAATACCCGAGAATTTCATCTTACACTTTACAAAATGAAAGTTCCTAGGTTTCACAATGGCAGGAGGGGGAAGCTTGAAAACACAAGCAAGCGCATCCTTAAGGGCTAAAGATGAAAAAGCAACTGAGGAAACCCCCGAAAGTATTTTTTAGGGGGCCTCATGCTTTTTCAGCCAATCTTATGACTTCTGAGGGCTTGGATTGATAATCCCTCTGCCAGGCCATCACTGTTATTTAGCTAGTCTTTGTGTCATTCACAAAGTGTCATCAGTAGTGATTTGACCTCTACTTCTAAATCACTGATTAATACACTGAATAGCCTAGAACTGACTGCCCAGGAAAACCTAATAGAAATACTGCCATTCACTGATGATTCCTCACATACAGTCCCTCTTTGAGCTCTCTGTTGACCTGGTCTTCATCCACTTACTGCATGCTTTTTGATGTTGCATTATGTCACATTTTTAACCTGCAAGTTGTTGAGTACCAAGTCAAAAGCAGTATATCTACACAGTAACATATCTCTTGTACAACCTCTACAGCCAAACATAATACTCAACAAGCAACAGGCTTGTTAGACAAAGCCTATTTTACAAACAATGCAATATTACACAGGGATGAATTTCCTGCTCAGGTTGGTCCCTTGAGTTAAAGACACCATTCAATCAGATTATAAACAAGCTTGAATTACCCAAATAGTCTTGTTGGATGTCCAAATGTGACAGATGGCCTGGCCCAGAAGCAGTGATGCCTGTTTAGCTGTCCTCCCAGAGTGACCATACCCTTCCAGCTGCAAGGCCAGCTTTTATATGCAATGGCTTTCTGACTCATGATGACAAACTGAGGGGTGAGGGTGCCTTTGTAATGCTAAAATGGGTGGAGCCAGAAAGATTGTTATCATACTAATGGCTTTGGCTCAGTCCTGTATCTCCCTTGATGATCTGCAATTTGGGCAGGATATTCTAGATCGTGGTGCAACTTTCTCCTTCTTTTTAATCTTCCGCTGAAGTTACTTAAGGCAGGAAGACTAGCAGCCTGCTAAGCACAGGGGCTATAATTTAAATGGTGCTTTCCATCCACCAGGTTATCCTGTATAGCAAATGCACAGCCCTTGTGAAATGCCACTAGCTCTGGATCCTGATAACACCGGCACCAGCAGGGATCAGCCTGCCTTTTGCTTGCTTATCCTTGGAAATTATGCAAGGGATTGATCAGATTTGTTCTTAGGGCTGGCCTGCATGGAGATACTCAGGAAAGCTCAGGCAACTCAACCCCCAGTGGGAAGTCAACATGTACAGATGAAAGCAGGTTCACCCCCTGTTTGGACGCTTAGGATTAAGGTACAGCAAAGCAGGCCACATTACTCTGGAACAGCAGGGCTCACCCGCTTTAGTTTATGTTGATTCACTTGCAGTTCGTTTTGTTGTTGTTGTTTTTTTTTTTTTTTGGGGGGGGGGGGGGGGAGGGACAGGAAGGGACAAAACTTTGCAGGTAAATCTTCAGTCACTGCCAGTATTCACTTTCCAGCTCTGAAATGCAGTGTCTCCACCATCAGGACCTGGGTCTGGCATACTATTCACTTCCCACCTAGAACGTATTTCCACGGTAGCAAACAACAAACATATCCAGCTCCTTGTTGCAGTTCCCTTATGATGGCTCTGTAGCACTGCATTGCAAAGGATTTATCTTTCCAAACAGACCCCAGAGTGTTCAATGAAATTACACAGTGGAGGCTGTCAAAACTCTTCCAGTCACAGCTTCCTATCACAGCTCCCTTCTCAGTTTCTAGATGCAATCAAGTGGTGGTGTATGCCCCTCCCTGGAGACCTCTTTCTCAGAGGATCCCCCAACCTGAAAACCCCACTCTGCATTTCACAAGGTGGTTAACATACACCTCTCTGTGTGTGATCCTGCAGTGTTCTGTGTTATCATATAGGTGAGTAATCTCATTCGTGTCAGCCATCCCTTAGAACAGGGTCTTTCCATGGAGAAGTAAGTACAAGACTGGGCCTGCTGAAAGGGTTGCCCTAGACCCTGATCCTGCAAACCCTTACACACATTCTCCATTTGACCTCAGTGCGACAACTCATGGGGACACAGTGCCACAGAGACAAACATTGATGGAATGGGGTCCGTATGGTCATTTGAAAACAAACATCTCATTTATTTTCTTAGTCATGATCTTACCACGGTCCCAATTAACATTTAGCCTCCCTGATGGGGGAGGAGATGGGGCATCACAAAAGAAAAATGCACATAGTCTTTTTCTCCCTTTTTAAGCTTAAATACCCATGCCAGATTGCTCTGTGGCTGCTGCCATCCCTGTGACATTGGAAGTATGCTCCTACCTAAATGCTGCCTCAAAGGTTCAAACCCTGGATTGGTCAAGGGGGAAAAAAAGGTGCAAGTCACAAGGCAGTGCGGGTTCACTGTGCAATTGCAGTGATTACTCACCTGTGGCTGGCTGAGGATTTACCTAGGGGCCCATGGTTGTCAGGAGTGGAAGAGAGTACGTACGCAGCATTACAGAAAAAAAATCCTCTTCCAGCTGCCAAACTTGTTTGTAATCCTTTCCCTCCCCCACCCTAACAACTTCCTTGATCTGCTCTCCCGGGTGCCACATAGCCATGAAATCATCCAGTAAGCACTCAGAACTAGCCCCAATCCCAGCCATGAAATCAACCAGGAAGCACTCAGAACTAGCCCCAATCCTAGTTTTCGAATTCATCTGCAAACCCCTCCCCCTGCTCCTCCATGAAGGAGAACACAGCCCCACTTTCAGACAGACTGGAATGTAAAAGATCTCTGCAGTGTAGAAAGTGCAGCTCCATGGACACAACTAGAGAGAACTGTTGCCTCTCCCTTTCCCCGCCGCTTTGCTCACCTTGCTGAAATGTAAAGAAAAGTTCCTACCAAGAGGAGAAGGGAAAATAGCTGGGAAGACAAGTTAGAGTAGATGTTTTGTTACTAGGCTATGTAACTTTGGTACGATGGTCCAAGAGGCAAGGATTTCTTTGGGTGACAGCTCTTATTAGATCTACTGCATCGTTGGGATACAGCAAGAGACAAGCTTTCGAATACAAGGTGTTCTTCTTCAGGTCTTAAATTAATAGGGAAGGGGAACCCAAGGCAAAGGCTGAACTACCTAATTGCTGGGTTTGCACACCCCCCCCCCCCCAGCCTTTATAAAGCTTCTGCTGGCTCTCCACAAGAAGGAAACTGAGATTCCACTGCAAAGCAAAGCCATTTGAAGTCTGCAGATGAGAAAAGAGTGAAGTTTCTTCATTATCTCAAATTCCTCACATACCTCCCCAGCAACCCTGCATCTTCATCCAGCTGCCTTATATAAGCCATTACTGCATCGCCTCCAAGAAGCTTCTACAAGACAATTTCACAATGTCAGTGCTAGAAGCTTGGTCAAAGTAAAACTATGTATGGGGTCAACTGAAAAAGGGAAACCAAGAATGCTATTCCTATTGTAGTCTAATGCTTAATATAAGAATATATATTTTTTATAATAAGAATATTTAATAACACATTTATGAAGGTACCTGTTGCTACCACAGGATTTCTAGTCTTCCAGAGAAACTGTGTTGTGATACTCATCATGTCTGATTATAAGGTAAAGGACCCCAAAACACTAACCAGAATCAAGAAGACATGGGGTGTTTATACACATGCTCCAGGAGTGGGGGAGGGAGGGGTGTTTTAAGTAGAGTGTCTCTGAGAGCTGCTCTAATTAAAGCGCCCAAAGCATCATGTCTATCAGCATCCCCACGCTGAAAAATGGCAGTAGGGGCGCTTTAACTAAAGCTCATCAATGCATTCTAACACGCTGATACATGTGACTCTGGGGTCTGGTGAAGTGTGGTAATTACCATGCTCCAGCAGACTCAATTAATCAAGTGTGCTCTGATGTGCAGTAATTACAGTGCATCAGAGCAGCCTTGCTGTACATCTGTAGGTGCCCATAAGGTGCACACAGAAGTGACAATTTTGCCTGATCTGACCCCTGAAAGTGGTCTACAGCCATGACCAAACACAAATGCATGGCTGCAGAGAGCTTTATAAAGGTCTGATCCCATGAAAATCTGAACTCCCGTTGCATGAAGGCTACATGAGGGTGCTCCATAGTGGAGTGCCCTCAATAACTTCTGTCTGCACTTGCTGAAAGCAGGGCTTGGCTGATGCAGCCCAGGCACTGTTTTCAGAATAGGAGGAAAGGAGCAGATGGAGCTCATTCTGGGAGTTGCCCAGCTGGCACTGGAGGGTGGGGTGGGTGTAGTAGAGTCCCCCCAAGGTGTGGGGCTCCAATCCACACCACCACTCCTGCGGGGCAGGGGAATCCTCAGAATAGACCTCCTTCCCCTGCCTTCCCCGCTCCCATCCTGAGACAGCATGGGAGCTTGGGGAGGAGGATGGTACTAGGGGACAGATGCTGCACAGATGAAGCCTGTCTCCTTGGATCAGCTCTAAATTAGATCTCCATCTCCCACTCTCCCAACCCTACAGCTAACATCTGTTGGGTTGGGAGGATCAGTCTAACTCATGGTGCTTTCTGTGAACTGCCATGAGTTGGATATGGGAGCTGCGTTTCTCTCTGAACCTATGGCATCCACAGTATCATTGAACTAGATGAGAAGATTTCAGTAGGGAATGGATCAAGTTCCTAGTGCAGAGTCCTACAGCTAGAGCCCACACAGTACACAAATAATAGGAGGGATGAGGAAATGGGAGGCCACAGTTAGTGGCAGTAACATCCCCAGATTTCACAGGTTAACAACCTGGTATCATTTGAAAGACTTTTCTCTGCATAAATTAATAAAACCACAACCTTATCCCAGACTATCGGACCACAGTGGGCCTTCAGCTATGCTTTCATGTTACTGACCTGTCTCAAAATATTTTACAAATGCCATTGGTTCCAGTCCAGCAAAGACCTGGGCGTTTGCTTAACCACCTTAAAGTGCCGGTTCCCTTGCTTAAGGTCAATGCTTGTGGGTCATTGCTTAAGTCATGGTTAATGTGAAGGAATAGTTCCATTCTTTGCTGAAGTGCCGTTGCCTCTGGAGGAACACAGCAGCTCTCAAAGCATGCTCAGCAACAGAACATTTTACATTCAGACAAGAACAAAAGGACAGCTTACACTGCAGTGATACTCAGGGCATAGGAACTCCAGGAAGCAGGTTGGCACACGTCCAGATTACTAGTGTTAATAATCCCCTTTCTACACCTGCACAATGTGCCATGGCTTCTTTAATGACCACAAGGGACTCGGCCCTTGGTTTCAGATCTCACTTAGCAGGGACAAGCCTCTAGAATAAATAATTAACTCTATTACCACTTTAAATATTTTATTGCCTGTTATTCCAATGCACAGTGTCAGACACAATCATGTATAATACAATGATTTGCATTCTCTATAGAAAAAGTGACAATTTCTTGCAGGATAAAGCTGCCAGAATTCCCTGCCAACAGGACCTGGGGGCTGCTCTGGACAAGCAATAGATAGAAAAGATCAGCTGTCTTTCACTTAGCAGTGCTGCCAGCCAGGAGCCCTCATTGCTGCCGAATGGTTCTTGTGACTGTGATACATTTGGGACTTCTTTCTCTCCATTCATGAAACAGCCAGTGAATGAACACGAAAAAGAGCTTGAGCAAATGAAGCCATAAGAGAAGGCCCAATGTCATCCACTTTGACATCAGTGGCAAGTCCCTTTCACTTCAGGGGGCAGTAGTGTGTGGCCTTGAGTCTTCATCTCCATCCACAAAACCAACATAACTGTTCCAGATACCTTCCCTAGGTTGGCACAGAGCCTCATTTGCATTAGAGATACACTCCCTCCCACGGCCCCCCCCCCCAACCCACCTACA